GGGAGGAAAAAAACGAAAATTTTAACAATTTTTTTTTGAATACTCATGCTATACCCCATATTTGTTTAAGATATTTTGGCCTGGAGAGATGGCCTAGCCCTTAAAGGCTAGGCTCACACCCCACATCTTTCCGTATTTAAAACATGATTGGTTTGGGCTGAAAAGCTAGATTTGGGTTTGATCAGCTGTGTGACGCGTTCCTAAGCAGAAGTGCGACTGCTCAACACGATTCTCCCGCAGCTGCTGTCCTGTTGTTCTGCAATCTGTCGGTGTGTCCTGACGCACACACAGCTGACTTCTCATCTTTTCCTTTCCAGGACCCGTCAAGAACAGTTCCAGGCAGATACAAGAGGTAAGAGTCTTGACTTTGTATCTTACAGACTTGAGGCCACTGCCTGTCTTCATGCTGACCCTACTAACTAGAACTGCTTTGAGTCACTGTCTTCAAAAGCAAAAAACCAAAACCTAGATATTGTGTTTTTTAGAAGAAATTCCCTTGTAGACAGAACTCTAGCCTCGGTCAGCCCCGGCTTGTTTCTGACCTATCCCAGAGCCTTTGAAAGTCATCTACACTGTGGATCTTCGTGCGTTTAACATAGAAACTTAGAATTGGTTTTCCTTTGTGCAGTTGCACACTGACAATACAAGGAGACCACGTGTGATGTCATAATGCCATAAAGGTCATTGACTTAAACAAGAAAACTGGGGAGCCAGCCTGCCTGGGCGGTGGTGGTGGCAGCGGTAACAATGGCGTTGGTGGCAGTGGTATATGCTGGGGAATGGTTTGCTCTTGGTCATCTTTCTGTATTGGAGTCAAATTCTCTGTCCTTATATGGGCACTAACTACACTGTGAAGGTGTCCACTCCCATGACCCCATGACCCTAATTATACCCCAGAGGCGTCCTCTCCACAGCTGTCACATTGGCAGTCAGGGCTTCTGTACCTGTTGGATGCACCGTATCACGTCACCTTCTTCCCTGTGGGGACCACAAAGGCTGCAGAGTGTGCTCTGATTAGATAAGGGTTTTGGTGAGATATTAAGATGTTCAAGTGACTCTCAGAGTTGGCTTATGTGGTAGATACAACATCTGCTGGCATTTTATAGATAAAGGAAGGGGGGGGAGTTATAAAGTAGAGTACTTTCCTCAGAACACAAGCCAAGCTGATAGCATATATCAGATTTGAGGTCAGACGGTCTCATTCCAGCTCATACACTTACTAAATACAAAAGATCATCTGTCAAGATTTACATGTGTAAAACCTTTGCTTTTGTCTTTTCATACGTTAAAGTGTAAGACATTTGCTAATAAGAACTCGCAGTTTTATTACCAAGCAAGCAAAGTAAAATGTGATTGTGTTTTTACCTTTGGTGCCATCTCTGAGAAGGGGAAGGATGAGAGGCCCAGTGTGGCAGGAGTTGAACGAGCACGCCCCAACATCCGTGACCCACAGGAACCTCTCGGTGTTGGCTGTTGCTTTTATTTTCATGTCTGCATGTGCCTATAATGACACATGCTTCCTTAATCTGGAGCTGAGTAGTTTTTATTTACCATGACTAGATTAATCCAAACAGAATAAATTTTCTTTTGCCAGAAACCATGGCCAAGTGGCTTTGGCCTCTGAACCATTCACAGACATATTTTCAGAAAAAGAAAAATTACCGTCGTTGTTTTGTTTGTTTGGAAAGCAAAGATAAAACTGGATAACTTATCAGCTGTGTTATAAATATGTAATTCTAATCAAAATTATAAATGGCACTTTTATATTTGTGTTCTTGAATTAGATTCAGTGAGGGAATATTTAACTCCCCCCCTATAAATTCTCTCCACGGGGCTGGAGAGATGGTCCACAGTTAAGAGTGAGGACTGCTTTTGCAAGGGAACAGTTCAGTTCCTAGCACCACATCAGGGGGCTCACAACTGTGGGTAGCGCTAGCTCTGTCACCCTCTTCTGGCCTCTCAGGGTACTGCACTTATGCATGCACACACACACACACACACACACAGACAATAAAGTCACACTCACACACAAACACAACAGAGATGCACACACAGATGAACACAGACACACACCCAACAGTGACAACCATAAACCGTCCTTTTCAATGCTGCTATCAAACCGCTGTGTTAAATTAGTAAGAAATTGTTTCCCGTGGTGAGTATTTTTAAGGTTTGAAACCATTATTTTCTGTGTGACATGTTCATCTGCCTACACTCTTATTTTTGTGGCCCAAACTATGTGATTTGTTACTTTTTAGCTCTTTAACATTACTAAAAATACTTTTAAACCACCAAAGGACAGGGGAATGGTGAGTTTGAGGCCAGCCTGAGCTCTTTAGCGAGAACCTGCTTAAATGAGTAAATAATGAAATTTAAATCTGTAGTCATTTTTCATTGAGGCATAGTGACTACTTTAATGTGGTCTAAGAAGCGCAGTGTAGAGCTGAGGGTATATGTCTGAGATCAACCGTTCTTTAGCTCCCAGGACTATCTGTCACCGCCTGTCAGAGGGTCATTACCTCACTAATCTGTCAGCAAGTTGTAGCAGCGATCAGAGAATGGGAGTCTCTTCACGAGGGTGTCTCCTGACAAATGGGGATGACAGAAATGAGGAATGGCCTAAGAGATAAAACGCTGCCATCACGTTAGACAGCCTTTTCTGTAAACCAAATGACTTGTACGGACACACAGTTGGCACCGACTCGGGAAAGTCTCTAGGGGTTTCCAGTCTCTGGCCCGGCATGCTCTCCTCTCTCACTGACTCCACGCCTGTTGTCACCTACGAATGTTGAGAGTGCGGGTTTTGTTTTTTTTTTTTTTAGCTCCATGAAGCTTCAGGCTGGCCATGCGGCGCCTAGACTCCGGTTAGTTCATCTAGAAAGTCCTGTGCACGCTGGCTAGCTTTCCATTTTAAATTTCACGTGTGGAGATGAGACTGTGACATGTCTCATACTCAGTTTGGGGAAAGATGGGACAACGGTTGGTATTTGTGGGCTTTTGTTTCCCCAGTGTACGATGCTGTCAGTAGAGTCTTTACTTGGTTAGGTTCCTAGTACCTTGGTTAAATTGGAGGAGAGAATGCAGGTCCTTAAGGCCTTGGCAAGGGGCTTTCTTTCTAGGTTGTATCGGGCTGCTTGCAGTTGAACGTGGAATGCAGTCAACAGGTAGTAAAACTTTCCTCTTTCACTGCTGTAGTGACTCCCTGGGTGTTCAGAGCACGTTTGGTTTAGTATTAGCTGTTTACTAGTCTTTTAGGATGGCGGGGGGTGGGGAGGTTCGAGACAGGCTATCTCTGTATAGCCATGACTGTCCTGAAACTCCCTTTTTAAACACAGGTTGACCTCAAACTCACAGAGATTTCCCTGCTTTTGCCTCCCATGTACGGGGATTAAAGGGGCGTGTCACTACGGCCCCTTTAATAGACAATTCTTTTTTTTTTAATTTTTTGTATTTATTTATTATGTATACAATATTCTGTCTGTGTGTATGTCTGCAGGCCAGATCTCATTACAGATGGTTGTGAGCCACCATGTGGTTGCTGGGAATTGATTTCAGGACCTCCGGAAGAGCAGGCCGTGCTCTTAACCACTGAGCCATCTCTCCAGCCCTAATAGACAATTCTTAATGCTCTTCCTAGGCAAGTTACATAAGTAGGTGTAACAGTGTGTAAGGTCCCTGCATGCCTGTTGTCCAGTCAGCCTGATAACAACCCGGGAGGCTTCCTACCTGTAGAGAGAAGGGCTCAGTTCCGTGACCTTTCCTTAAGTCATTTTCTCTTTGGCCAGAAATCGTGCTGTAAGAGAAAACCCGCAGGCCTCGCCTACCGCGTCTGTAGTTAACGGAACTTTATCATTACTTTCCTTCTCTTACGGTTTTCTTCAGTTTCTCAGAATATAGGGGCTGATCCTCACACGCTATTGTTTCATGCCTTTAATTAATTAATGTGCTATTGTTTGTGTGTATATGTGAGGGGAGCGTGGCTGGGTGCATGTGCCAGCACGAGCCTAGGAAGGTCAGAGGGCATCTCTGTAGTTGTCTCTCCTTCTACCTTTCTGTGGGCTCCAGGGCTTAGAGCCAGGCGGCCAGGAGGACGCAGCATCACAATGCGAGCAACTTCACGGATGGACTCCTCTTACCATCTTTCGCTGGGATGTTAGGGTGGAACTTGGCTCCCAGGCGTGTACAGTGAGAGGCTTTTGCCCATGGAGACCTCTTTTCTGCCTTTTAAAAGCAGTGTGGACTTCTTAATGGAAATGTGACGAGTGCAGAAAATTGGCATTGATAAAACCTAATCCTGTCATCCCGAGTCCCCTCAGCCCCGCAGTGGCACATGGGTGCCTGCAACTTAGTTTCCAGTCATGTGAACTGTGGCTGCTCTCAGCTACAATGTCTCTGCCTTTGGTTTTTTTCGAGGCAGGGTTTCTCTTTAGCTCTGGAGCCTGTCCTGGAACTCGCTCTGTAGACCAGGCTGGCCTCGAACTCACAGAGATCCGCCTACCTCTGCCTCCCGAGTGCTGGGATCAAAGGCGTGTGCCACCACCTCCTAGCCTTTTCAACATACACAGCACAGGGATGCACAGAAAACCTACAGCTGTAGGAAGCCACTGCTGCCTGTTTTATTGGAGCAAAGCGTGAGCGTGCGTCTTAAAGGTCGACGTTCTCTTCAGAATCAGTTGCGTTGTAAAGGCAGTTGCTTTGGAAAGGCAGTTTGTCCTGGGGACAGACTTTACCCTTCCTCAGATTTCACATGTTATGCACGTAGTTTTGATTGGAACGAGTGTGAGGTGGGCAGGTAAAGTGGCGCACACCTTCAGCTCCGTAGGAACGTTCAGAACACAGCCAGGTGTGTAGTGCCCACGTCTGTCAGCCAGCTCAGTGCGAAAGGCAGCCCGCTTCTCCTGTGGGTTCTGTAACTTCCAGCCTGGCTTCAGCCCATCCTTTCCCTCCCTCCTCTTCCTCACACTGCACAGGAAATCACGAGCTACATGAAAGTCTTGTGACGCCAGCCATAAGCATATTTTACCTCTTCGTCATAAAATACCACCTGTATGTATTTCTTGGGTATTTGACATATTTAGGACCATGGTAACATTTCCCCCCTCCCCTACCCCATTTAATGTGTCACTGAAAGTAGTTTTTGGAGACTATGTCCTTAGCTTCATTTTTTCTATACTCCTACGGCTTGTGTGTGTGTGTGTGTGTGTGTGTGTGTGTGTGTGTGTGTGTGTGTGCGTGCGCACTGTATTTCACAAGCACATGTTGCAGTCTGGGAGGTTTACCTCTGGGTAGATGGCTTAATAAACTAAATCTTTGCCTTTGTTTATGGGGAAAGACGTCTCTTCTATAACATAA